GAATGGAAATGGGGAATGTGTCAAAGAGACAACAACCCGACCATAGAACAGACAACAGCAGAAGGTCACCAACAGGTCTTTAATGCAGCGAGAAATTCCCGCACCCGGAGGCGTCCTTCAGCTGGCCCCTAAACAAATATATATACTAGTTGAGTGATAATGAACGCCATACTAAACTCCAAATTGTACACAAGAAACTAAAAATAAAAATAATACAAGACTAACAAAGGCTAGAGGCTCCTGACTTGGGACAGGCGCAAAAATGCGGCGGGGTTAAACATGTTTATGAGATCTCAACCCTCCCCCTATACCTCAAGCCAATGTAGAAAAGTAAACGCATAACAAAACGCACATTAAAATTCAGTTCAAGAGAAGTCCGAGTCTGATGTCAGAAGATGTAACCAAAGAAAATATACAAAATGACAATAATACATAAATAACAACAGGATACTAGCAGTTAACTGACATGCCAGCTCCAGACTTCAATTAAATTGATTGAAAGATTATGTCTTCATCGTATGAATATCAGGCACAATCCTTCCCGTTAGGGGTTTAGTATCGTACCATCATAACATATATGAGAAGAACATAACCCGTGTCATGCCAACAACTGGTTTTTAAATAAATGTGTTTAGTGCCGATGCAAAGACCCTATAAGTGAATCAATATTAACGCCAAAATATGCAATCTTTAATGACCTGACAACAGTATCGTAACTATATCCCTTCTTAATAAGTCTATTTAAAGGTTTTGTTAGCTTCAGAGGTATATACTGACATTTTTGTGCTTTATAAAGAATATTTCCATAAAAAATTGGATGTGAAATACCTGAACGTATAAGAAGTCTGCATGTTGAGCTATATTTACGAATGATGTCCTTATACCGAAGATAAAATTTAGTAAATGTTTTGACTAGTTTGTGATATCGAAAACCCTGGTGTAATAATTTTTCAGTAATACATAAATTTCTCTCGTTAAAATCTAAAACATTGTTACATACACGAGCGAATCGTACAAGTTGAGATATATAAACACCGTAAGATGGTGACAAGGGAACGTCACCATCTAAAAATGGATAATTAACGATAGGAAATGAAAAATCATCTCTTTTATCATATATTTTAGTATTAAGCTTTCCATTAATGATATAGATATCAAGATCGAGGAAAGGGCAGTGGTCATTGTTAGTATTAGCTTTATTTAAAGTAAGTTCAACAGGATAAATTTCTTTAGTATACATACTGAAGTCGTCATTATTGAGAGCCAAAATATCATCCAAATATCTAAAAGTATTATTAAATTTGTGTATCAGATGTTGTTTCGATGGGTCTTTGCTGATTTTTGTCATAAATTGTAACTCATAGCAATACAAAAAAAGGTCCGCAATAAGTGGTGCACAGTTAGTCCCCATTGGAATTCCGATAACCTGACGATATACGGAATCTCCAAAGCGAACAAAAATGTTATCTAGTAAAAATTCAAGGGCATATATAGTATCAAAGCATGTCCAATTGACATAGTTTTTTTGTTTATTGCTACTAAAAAATGACCTAAAAGAGTTTGAACATATATATTCACATTCTGACTTTTTTAATGCCCATTTAATTAGGTGTGTGAATTTTTTCTTAATGAGAATGTGAGGCAATGTGGTATATAGGGTAGAAAAATCAAAACTTTGAACAGATTCAAAATCACCAATATATGCATGTAATTTATCAAGTACTTCCAACGAGTTCTTGACACTCCAAATGTCTTTTTCAAAAAAGTAAATGATATGAAACAGAAAAACAGTTAAGGAATGGTCATAGTTGGGGGAGATATGAATGATACACTATCTAATATTGACAACAAAACAAACAGCACAAATAAACAAAACAAAAACAAAAACCATTCAACAGTTTTACAGGGTTAATCAAAACACATAAATTGATAGACATTTGGAGAGATACACATAGTAGCAATATACAATTTACATGGAGAAGGAAAAATAAGATAAATGAAGCTTCACACATTGATTACTTTCTTATTTGCTCAGAAATAAGGTCACATATATATTCAGCAGACATAAGTCCTGCACGTATATCGCACATAGATCACCAAGCTATATCTCTAAAGGTAGAAGGGAGATCACAATCAAAAGGGAAAGGATATTTTAAAATTAATAACAGTATTTTAGATAATATAGAATATAAAAATATAATAAAAGGCCTTATTAAGCAATATAAAAATAAAACAAAACTTACTGATAACATAGGACATCAATGTGATCTGTATAAAATTGAAGTACGAGAACATACCGTTGCATACTGTAAAAGAAAGGCAAAACGAATTATTAGTGAAATACATGTATTGGAAAATAAGATTAACAAATTAAATGAAAGTATAAACACAAAATGTAAAGATGATGTTATTAAACATTTTCAAGAAGAATTAGTTTATAATGAATGTAAACTAAGAAAAATTTATGAAATCAAAAGTAAAGGAGCTCAAATAAGGTCAAGGATAATGGGTAGAAGAAGAAAAGAAGAATACAAACTTTTGAGGTGGGGGGGGGGGGGGTTAGAAAAGCCAGACAAACTAGAAAGACTATAACCGCCCTTAAAGATGACAAAGGCGTTGTACAGACAGAATCTTCTAACATTTTACAAATAGAAAAAGAATTCTATCAAAGTATTTATAATAGTACAAATCCAGATATGAAATCTATGGATAATTATACTAATGATAAAAATGTTGATCATGAATTAAATACACAAGAAAGTGAGATTATGGAAGGTACTTTAATCATTGGAGAATGAACAACTTCATTATTTAAGATGAAATTAAACAAATCCCCTGGAATTGATGGACTAAATGCTGAGTTCTATAGAACTATTTGGGAAGAATTAAAAGAATTTGCTATATCTACATTGAATGATTCATATCAAAAAGGGGAGTTAACGAGTTCTCAAAAATTAGGAGTTATTTCTCTTATTCATAAAAAGAATGATCCGCTTAATTCAGTTGGATGCTTCGTGTTAAGTTTAAATTAACCCAGCTAAAATTTGATTAACCAAGCTATGATAATAGTATGTAATAACGTATGAAAGGCATGCTACTGTTACTAAATTCTATAACAAGGCAAGATTATGTAATCTATAAAAAGCAGTGTATGCTTAATATGTTTCTTTTTTTTTTAATTGCGGTTTCACATACATATAATTGAACACGTTTCTGATTTAATTATAGTTTGTTATAAATGAATGCATACCAATGTGCATGACAAATAAAACAGAATAAAGCTTGAAATGCCAGGTATATATAACTAGACAACTTACAAAAGAAAAACGTTTTTCTTGAACAACTTTCCAACCAGGTTTAATCCAGCATTTTCTACCTGAGGAAATCGCTGTACCAAGTCAGGAATATAACAGTTTTCTATTCGTTTGATGTTTTTAAGCTTTGATTTTGACATTTGATAGGGGAATTTCCAATTTTAATTTTCCGTGGAGTTATGTATTTTTGTTAATTTACCTTTTTACATAGTACCTGTCACAAAACAAAAAGAATAACAAATATTGAATTTGGAGAAAATGTCTTTAATGCACTTGATGAAAAGGAGACTGCAACATATCATCTATTAATATCTCCGAACAAAGAATGACCTGTATGAACATTCTGTTGATATTTTCTTTCATTCCGAACTTGATATTTCTCATTTCCAAATTTACATATCGCAGCTTACTGGAACTGTGAAGTATCAAATTAAAATATGACAAATGTCGACGTGAAACTGAAAAGTGCTAAGTTGGAAGTGTATGCGAAATGCCAATTTGGTTCTGAGAAAAATCATGTTAGAACTGAAAATTGAATCTAATAGATATAAGAAGATGTGGTATGAGTGCCAATAAGACAACTCTCCATCCATGTCAAAATTTATAAAAATAAACCATTATAGGTCACAGTACGGTCTTCAACACGGAGCCTTGACTCACACCGAACAGTAAGCTATAAAGGGCCCCAAAAAAATTACTAGTGTAAAACCATTCAAACGGGAAAACCAACGGTCTAATCTATATCTAATCTATATAATATATAATCTAAACATGGTTAAAAACATACTTTAGAAAACAAGAAAATATTGGATACATATCAATGAGACAGCAACCAAACAAAAGAATAATCCAAAATATTTTCTACAATTAATAATAAAGAAGAGTGTTAAAATATTGACATATAAATGGCTCCGAGCAATTTATATGTCAATATAACACGTTAACAATGATTTATGACATGAAAGATTTTCTTTCAACACCAAATTCTCCAAAAGATATAAAGAACATTATGCTTAAATAAAAGAAACTTTAAGGCTTGTTATAAATATATATTTGTGATATTGCTACGCAACATAAAGTACAGTGTAGGTGGCGGGCAAAATGACTGTAAACAAAAATAACTGGTTGTCAACATATACATGGTCGAATGGCGATGTTTCTTAATGTGTAGTAGACAAATATGATGAATATACTCGCTCATTATAAGGACAGAATATGTATAGGAAAAATTATGACAAAAAGGCAATCAAAAACAATAAATCAGACAACCATCAGAATCATGGCCAAAAAAAACAACAAAAAAAACAAAAACAAAAACAAAACCTAGCACAATCATTTACGGTCCTCATAACATTTAAAAAAAAAAAAAAATATTAACCTCCACCAATCCCATTAAAACAGCAATACAAATTATAGAAAAAAGAAGTGGTTATTACTTTGAGAAAATTCTCTTCTGATTTATCATGAATTGGTGTCTCTCACTTTATGTTGTTCGAATTGATGTACAAAAGACAACAAATTAGGACATCTCACACTTTGAAGTTTCGTCGAGTTAATGTCTTTTACAAGAATAAAGGAAAAATCAATAATACAACAATTACTGTTCCATTTTTAACCATTCATTGTTAAATCGCGTCTCACTTGAATAAATATAAGTGAAATCCGCAGGTAAAACTGGCCCGATTATTCACTTTAAAGTTCGGTAAAAAAATATACATAGCCAATTACTTCTACTGGTTTGTATATTATCAACAAACACATTATTTAATTTACCAATATGAAATATTTGTCATAATGGTATAGATTCAGATTCTTTAAAATCAATATTTTTACCAGGAATAGTAATAGTGCTTTATGTTTATGTTTAAGGATCATTCCGTTAGTAAGAAAAATTTAGATCGTCACGGTTAGTGCTATAGAAGACAATACTGTAAGTACACATTTCTTTTTCAAATTCTGAAATAGCAGTAGTATCTATATATAAGTGGAAATCAATAGTTTAAAAAGGACCAAACAAGAGATACTATTTGATATGATTGTTGATTCCTATTAATCTTTTAATGTTTTAAAAACAGAGAAAACAATGCAGAACTAGGAAGTTGAAAGAATTATAAAAATAGAAACGTAAAAAGTAAATCGAAATGTCAAATGTCAAAAAGTACCGTTTTCAGTTTTGCGCTTTAAGATGTTTTTAAATAGATGAGAAATCGATACATAATTGTGAAGAAAAAAAACGATTTTGATACACGAAGACATAATAGGATAAAAGGAATTATAAAAAAAGATTGAATAGTACATCAGACATCAATTACAATCAACCCCACTAGTCAGAGAAAAGATATGCATAGTCAAGACAAACAAAGAAATGTGGTGGGTACAAGCATAACATTTTATGGGGTTAAAGTTTTACCAGGGCACAAACATTCTGTGTTTTCTGCTGTTTGGTCGGGTTGTTGTCTCTTTGACACATTCCCCATTTCCATTCTCAATTTTATCCTTTACAAATTGAAACAATACGTTCAAAAGTATACTTTTGATAACCACTGTTTAAGAATCAATAAATAGTGTCAATTATCAAATGATATGGGGGAGGTAAAACAAACAAGTGCTCCAATTATTAAACAATGTTTGAATACTGGGATGTTCACTAAGACAGAAACAAAATTCTGCGCATTAAATCATTTTGAAATGTATATGAGAACTTGTATAGTCTACCACCACTGCTGGTGGAAAATTAGTCCAGAACTTGTCATCAGCTCAGAGCCAGTACTACAGTACCCCATGATGTATTACAAATCCCTCTTTAATCTTCTCTTATAAATTTATGAATTATCAAGAAATTGAGGTTTAACTCCCACAAGTAAAGTTCGGCTAGTATTTAAGGTCCTTTTGGTCATACACCTTTTCAACTATTTTGGCTCTTATCCATCTGTGGCTTTCAAATGTTCAGCTTGAGCGTTCTTGATGAAAGCAAATCCAGAATAGCGCTGCGAACGCATGCGATTTACAAAGTATTCTTTTAATTTGACAGCACTGGGTTGATACAGCCGCTGGTGGACACTCAGTCCGGGACGGAATCGTCAACTCAGTACTTAGCACGTTGGTACTGACATGATTCATAATAAACCCTATAATTGTCCATTTCTAACTTTATAAATGATTAAGAAACACCATGCAGAATTGATAGATTTTCTATTATTTTAAGGTCCTTTTGGTTATGAAGCTGTTTCAGTTCTTATATATGTTTGTTTTTCGAACATTCGGCTTTGAGTGCTCATGATGATGATAAATCCAGAAAACCTGAATGACGCATGACTCTTTTAACGTGTTGTTTTGCTTTTTAATAGCATTGGGTCGATACCGCTGCTGATGCATAACTATCAGTCCCCGAAGGGTATTAACAGCTCAGTATTCAGTACTTCGGAACTGACATGATTTGTAAGAAACCTTTCTTAAATTGTTTCTTCATAAATTTATAAGTTATCAAGAAACTAAAGCTTCAACTTTCTTAGGCAAAGTTGACCTAAGATGGATTTGGCTATTATTTTTTGGGTCGTTTAAGGTCGTTTATCTCCTCAACGGCATTGAGCGTTCGTGACGAAAAGCAATACAGATGCATGGAATTCATAAAGTGTTGATTTCATTTGTACTAATAAATTAGCAATTTTGTCAATTATTCATGCAACAAACACATTTAAACAATCAGCCGACGGGGAAAAAACATAAAGGGCTAAAAAATTATAACAACAATACAACAAACTCACTATGAGACACTGTGACAATATTCTGAATATTAATCGTATAAATTAGAAATAATATCTGCAACTATTTCAAACAAATGCATCCTTCCTTCAATTAATTTATAACCTTTTTTGTATACATAGTTTTCTGATTGTCATTTTTCAGTAAATATGATATCAATTTTGTATATAGCTGGCCTTAAATATTTCTATTAATTTAAACAAAAAATAATTGTTTTTATAGTAGAATGCAAACTAATAGAAACAACGAGGGGTCAACCAACGTTATAATACAACCAACAGGAAATGTAGCACCTCAACAAATATTTTATGTGAAGAGATTTAAAATATTGGGTGGTGTGCAGATTGGGATTGGCGGAATATTAGTGATCATGAGTTTAGTTCAATTGATAATGAGTTTGATTTCTTTCTTGATTGCCTATAACTTACCGATACTCATATGCTCTGGATGGGTAAGTCTCTTATATTTATTTTATAAGAACATTTTAGGAACATTTATGGCTGCCTGATATTACTTTTTATATTGTTTTAAGTACAAATTGTATGTTTTCGATTATAATATAAAGATTATATATATGTGTTTTATTCCTGGAGCTGCTTCAGCAAAAGTTAGAATTTCGGAAACATTATAAAAGTCTAGCATCCTTTATTTGTGTTATTAAGGGTAACTACTTCTACAATTTTAAATATTTTCAGATCTCCTTTGTTTGCCTTCGAGCACTACAGAGGAGAAATAAGTTTTTAAAATGTGCATTTGGTGTATTTACCCTGGTGCAGTAATATGCGATTTTATATTCCTACAACTTAATGGATCTTCTGGAAAACCACGATTCGTTGCCTTTATTATCCTCCCGGACGACGAATCATATCAATCTATTTAAGATAGCAAAGCTTATAAATTAAATTGAATTTGATCACTAAGGCCACTTATTATTTTATCGGCTGAAATTGAAGACATCACAAGTTATATCCGTTTGTGTAAATCAACTTTGCTTTTCTCTTTGAAAACTTGACAATTTAAAACTCGGTTTATAAAAAATATGAATAACTCTAAAAAAAATTCTGTAAGCGTCACTTGAAACTCGGAAACGTTTACTTTACCAATGTTGTTAATGCTTTTTATGCAATTTTTATTTGACGTCAATATCAATGTAAGAAAAAGGAATTTAGATATAAACAGATGTGGCGCAATTAGACCTTAGACAAGTATCTACCTAAGTTCAAAATGACCTCGATGAGTGCAACTAGAAATCGTCGTTTGGCCTTCAACACCGAGCAAAATCAATTCCGAACGGCATGTTTTGAAAGGTCGCTTATAAAATTTTAAAAAATACTAACGAGAAAGTGGACGGCTTGGTTTATATCCATATCAATAACGTAACAAATTATAAATTTCAGCTACAAATGACAATCATTTCAAAGCCGTTGATAACTTATAGTATATCAATTGTCCAAGACAAAATATTTCTTTTTACATGTATCAAGAAACTTAAACGTTGATCAAAGTTATATTAAACGAGATTAATGTTTAGTGATCCCTGTCAGACAGACATCAGCAGCTAACTATTGTTTAACAGCCAATTTATTTGTCTTATATCTCATAGTAAATGACAAACTGAATAACACACAGAAAACTTTGATCACTGAACCATGAAAATAGGTAACAATTAGGGGACTCATGTCAAACAGACATTTTCAACTTACAATAGTTGTGTAGACAAAATATAATTGTTAAACATTTGCTAAAGGTAAATGGAAAAAAAGAAGCACAACCAAGAAAGCTTGTTCTTTAATTTAGTAAATTTATGCAACTATAGTTACAGCCCTAGGATGGTGTAAACTTCCCAAAAAAACGTGTATGGTGTAATTGTGTATGGCATATGGTGCAACGGTAGAAGGTGTATGGTGCTATGGTGTATGATGCAAGGGGAATGGTGTAATGGTGTAACGTGCGATCGGGAATGGTGTGAATGAATGGTGTACGACATTTAAAACTATGCAAAATATTGAGAACTGATTTTTAATTTTATACATTAATTTACAATATTGTGATCAAAATTCGTTTTTTAAAAATAAATAAATAATTTTGTAGTCGCACGCTTTCTTTGAAATTAAATTGCATTATGGTGTAATGTGTAAGGTGTATGGTGCAAAGGTTTAACGTGTATGGTGTGATGGCACAGGGTGTATGGTGTAATGGTGTATGGTGAATGGTGTAATGGTGTATGGTGTTAGTGGGAAGTTTACACCATCCGGTACGTCGACAGATAGAGCATGTCCTAACTACTTGAATAAGGTCTATGCAGAATAAAATATGAAAGACGGTAATATCATTCCATTAGAAATGGAAACATACAAAATACGAAAAAAAAACAGTTTGTTTCACAATCACCACTGCCGTTTGAATAGCATGTCTCTGTCTCAGATATGGTGACATTCTTGAAGGAGCAACAACAACAAATTTGGGAACTCAAAATGGTTATCAAAACAAATTATCGTGTTGAATTTTTGACTCTGGACATACAGAGATGCAAGTTTGAAAAATTGATAGTTTAATTGTTCCCTTATCATCACTTAAATTTTAAATGTCAAATTTGTAAAGAAGAAAGGCGAAGTTTTTGGGGTGGAGGCAGCAAAGACCTTTCAAATAATTTCGTCTTGATGGGATAAAAAGATTATGAAAAGGTCAACATTTGTTTTCTATGAGGAATGCGAAAAAGGTGGTCGTATAAAACCACACTTAACAAAAATAGTTTGGTTTAATTCAGTTGGATGCTTCGTATTAAGTTTAAATTAGCCCAGCTAAAGTTTGATTAACCAAGTTATGATAATGGTATAAAATAACGTATAAAAGGCATGTCACTGTTACCGAATTTTCTAATCAAACAAGATTATTTCATCTTTTTGAAGCAGTGCATGCTAAGTATATGCAATGTTTTGTTATTATGCAGTCACTAATACATATAATCGAACAAGTTTCTAACTTAATTATAGTTTGTTATGACTGGATGCCTACCACTGAACATGTCAAAGAATACAGAATCAAGCTTGAAATGCCAGGTATATATAACTGGAATCTTAAAAAGGAAAACATATCCACTAAACAACTTTCCTGACAGGTTTAATCCACCATTTTCTACATAAGGAAATGTCTGTACAAAGTTAAGAATAGAAGACAGTTTTCCATTCATTTGATGTGTATTCACTAAACAACTTTCCTACCAGGTTTAATCTACCATTTTCTACATAAGGAAATGTCTGTACCAAGTCAAGAATAGAAGACAGTTTTCCATTCATTTGATGTGTTTGAGCTTTTTTTGATAACGGACTTTCTAATTTGAATTTTCCGTGGAATTCGGTATTTTTGTTATTTTACATTTTTCCATGGTACATGTCACAAAAAAAAAGAAGAAAAAAAAATGAATTTGGAGAAAAAAATATCTTTAATGTACTTGATAAAAAAAAGACTGCAACATATCATCAATGAATATCTCCAAACAACGAATGACCGTTAAGAATATTCAGTTGATATTCTAGTCATTCCGAACTTGATATTTCATATTTCCAAGTTGACATTCCTCAGTTTACATTTGTAACAGAGAAATATCAAACTTTAACTGAGAAATGTCGAGATGGAACTGAGGAGTGTCAAGTTGGAAGTGTATGCGAAATGTCAATTTGGTTCTGAGAAAAATCATGTTAGAACTTAAAATTGTCAAGTTTGAAGTAAAAAATGTCAAAATTGAAATGAGAAATTAAAAACATGTTATATGTTCCTACTGGTTTTTCGTACAAAGTTTTAGATTATCATATATGTGCATTTTTTCACGATTATGCAATTACATTGTACATTTGCAAATATTGATCATCAAAGTAGAGTGTAAATTTAATCAAAAGTAAACATTAGAAAAAAAAAAACACTGGTGAAACAGATTCTATACAGATGGTAAACAAACATACTTTAGAAAACAAGAAAATGCTGGATACATATCAATGAGACAGCAACCAAACAAAAGAAGTATCTAAAATATTTTCTTCAAATCAAAAGAAGGAGAAGTGTTAAAATATCGATATTTAAATTGCCGATGATACTACACATGTTAACAATAATTTATGACTTATGAGAGATTTTCCTTCGACACCAAAATCAACAAAGGATATAAAGAAAACAATGATTAAATTAAAGAAACTTGAAGAATTGTTCTAAATATTTGTGAGATTGTTACTCAACATAAAGCACAGTGTAGGTGGCGGGCAAAGTGACTGTAAACAAAAATAACTGGTTGTCAACACAGACCTTGTCGAAAAAGGAGTTGACAAATATGGTGAAGACACTCGCTCATTTAAAGGACAGAATATGTAAAGGCAAAAAATGACAAAAAAGGCATTCAAAAACAATAAATCTAAGAACCGTCTGAATTATGGCAAAAAAAAAGACACTAGCCAAGCAACGATCCTTTACGGCCGACTTAACATAACAAATAAAATAAAATATTGACCTATATGAATCCAATTAAAACTGGAATACAAATAACAGAAAAAAAGAGGTTGATATTTTTTTGAGAAAATTCTCTTCTAATTTATCAGTTTATGTTCATATTGTTTCTTACTTTAGAAAATATCTTTTATGGTGTGCAGTGTTATTGGGGCAGCGGTTTTTGTCCCGATTATGTTTAGTTTAACATTTATTGTTGGAATATTTGTAAGTAATAATATTATTAATTCGAATTCTTTATAACAGTTTCATAAATTAAAGCTGACTATTTAAACAAAACATACAAATTTCAATACAACACAAATAGAAGCGGGCGTTTGGTATACAGAACTATAGTCATTTAAGTCTGTATTACCTAAACAATTTCGAAGGAAATGTTCAATAGAAAAATAAATGAAGTATTATTCGTTTTGTAGTACAGGCAACCATAATCAATAGAACAAATGACTATCGGTTTGTTTGACAGAAATACAGCTTCAACTTCAAAGTTATTTTTCAAGTTAAACTCATACTTTTTTCATTCGACTTTATAATGACTGATAAAAAAGCAGTATCCTACGTGTTTGTAGAAAGAGTTAACAATTTATTACCAAAGCACTTTTACATTTGTTTTGCAGTAGATATAGATATACTATAACGCCTTCTAGAACCAGGAACATTTTTAGTTGTCAATTCAAGTTGACGACAAGTATTGTCCAAGTCGAAAGTTTAAAATGACCGTGTTAGTATGTGTCTTTACTTGGATGTCTAGACATGTATCTCGTCCGTTTCAGTTTCTTTGAAAACATGACAACGAATGCAAGCTTCTAGTTTTATAGTCAAAATTGTTTTCTATTATCATATATATTTATTTCAGCATTTAATTGACGAGTACCAAAACAACGGGTATATTTTATCCTATAGCATAGCCGCACTATCCGTTGTTGAAGCAATAGTTGCTGTCATTTCAGCTTCTTACTGTTGCTGTTGTTCGCCTTGGGAAACATCAAGTCAGCAGGTATCTATGTACAACAATGTAGTTATCATGTTATAAAAGAGGGGCGAAAGATACCAGAGGGACAGTCAAACTCATAGATCGAAAATAAACTGACAACGTCATGGCTAATAAATAAAAAGACAAACAGACAAATAATAGTACACAAGACACAACATAGAAAACTAAAGACTAAGCAACACAAACCCCACCAAAAACTTGGGGTGATCGCAGGTGCTCCGAACGGGTAAGCAGATCCTGCTCCACATGTGGCACCCGTCGTGTTGCTCATGTTATTACAAATCCGGTAAATAGTCTTAATTACGTAGGTCACATTCGTGGTGAAAAAGGAAGTCGATTGTAACTACGACATAAGGAACATATCCGATATCATCTGTGAAACGGTTATTCCATAACGGTCAACCAACTCGTGATGGCGTCCGTAAAATTTATTTTATTGTATTGATTAAATCCATTCGGCAAATATATGGATATGTATGATTTTTGTATTGCTAATTCCATATACAAAATGAATGATTAATGGTCATGAGTAATATGAAATGAACAAAAAAAAATGAAAAGTTTAGCTAAAGAATTATAGCGTTAGAAACTAAATGAGGCCTTCTTCTGGGTGTGGAATTTTTGCGCTGCGTTGGAGACTCATTGATAGCCTTTGGCTATTTTCTGCTCTTTGGTCGGGTTGTTGTTGCATTGACATATTTCCCGTTTCCCTTCCCTATTGTATCATATAAGTATCATATAAAAAAAACCCGTTTCGTGTCAGGTACGTTAACCCAAAAGTACTTTTTCGTATTTGTAACCATGTCGGCCTATAAATTGTATATAGTTATATACCTATATGGAGTTATTTTCTTTCAGAACGATAGGTCATTCTTTCGAAGAATCAACCCGGACGATACCATGTTTCAATGAAATATGCTCCAAGGCATAAAATAATGACCTGTGTGAGGTCATTATTTCGCTTGATAAAAATGCAAACTATAATTTACTTCAAAATTATATTCGTCAGATAGTTTCTGTTGCCGATTTGGGAATTTATTTTTTAAAGTTTAATCTATGATAGGTGTAAAAAAAATCGTCATTGCCCGAATTTTAATTTTAGAAACAAAAAATGTGAAGTTTTGTTAATTTATCGCTACAATACAGAGACATTATCATATATGCGAGATGAATTTTAATGTAAAACTTTCATAACACTTTAAAATAAAGCCAGATTTAAAATATTCGTGTGTAAGATTTTGAAAATCTTATTGATTCACACTGAATAGCTTGATTGATTGATGGTTACTTAACGTCTAGTGGCAAATATTTCATGCATGTTCAGGACGATACACACTGAATAGGAAATCATACTGTGACCTACATAGATATAAGAAGATGTGGCATGAGTGTCAATGAGACAACTCTCCATCCAAGTCAAAATTTATAAAAGTAAACCATTATAGGTCAAAGTACGGTCTTCAACACGGATCCTTGGCTCACACCGAACAGAATGTATTGATATTCGTTTTCGTGAAACATGTACATGTATCACGATTTCGTGCCCCCTTCGTGTCACTTCTTAACTTTTTTACATTTATGTATACCTTTTACTCTATCAAATGATTAACTCATAAAATATTCTTATATTCTATGGAATAACATTCACGTACCTCACAATGAGGTCGGGTGGGGGGAGGGTATATAATTATATCCTGATTACTAGTATCTGTTAAAAAAAATGTATTGCAATTCAAAAGAAAATCGTTCTGAATATTTCATTCGATTCAATTAAAATTGTTGAAAAAATAATCACTTTTCCGCGATAAAATGTCATTACAAATAGACAAAAAAAAACATAGCACCTCTCCCTTTCCATAAACTAAGTTGGTACAATAAATTACTTACAAAGTGTCTTGTATTTTTCATACACCGTTATCAGATGGTAACAATTCATTTGTGTCTTACTTCATGTAGTTACAGTAATATTTTTATTGTGTATGGATAATTAGAATATAGCAAAGTGCTCTCGACCAATGAAAATCTGATGTCTCTTGATTGTGAAGAATGAATGTAAATCATGTTCTTAGTAAGGGATTATCCTATTATTTGGGTCTATTTACAGTTCAAAACAAAGAGTTTCTATAAATGGTTTACAACTGCCCCGAAGCAAATTTATCAGATTGAAAGGATTTATCACAAAGTGATTGACACTGACTAAAAGTTAAATTGTGAAACAAAAAAATCAAAATAAGTTGAAGTCTACTCGTGCAGTAAAACTGGTACCTCTAATGTTATTATGAAAATATTAATAACTTTAAATTACTAAAAAATTAAACAATATCAAAGCAATGCAAAAAAAGAAAAAAAGCTTTAAAATCAAAAACAACATAAATCTTTAGCTTTCCAAAAACTCTGATAACTGGACTAGCGGTTGGGAAGAATAGTTATTTCCAATATTCCGTTAAATTTAAAAAAAAAAAGGAATTTAATTTAAGTTTTGAATATATTTAAAACTTTTAAAGGCATTTTGTTTGAACATTCCCCTGTTATAATGAAATAGTATTTGATTTAAGAAGCCGGACCAAAATATTGGCTGTGAAAATAAAATTAGTTGTAACTCCAGTATAGTTATTTATTTAAACTGTAAATAAAAAAAGGATAATTCCTCACTAAAATAATACATGATATACATTCATGCTCACAATCAGGAAACATATACAATTCCTACCTTTTCTTTGGACTGTTGTCACCTAATGTCTATAACGCATTTTTTTTTTTTAATATTTCCCAAATTATAAGAATGTCTTTACATAACTAAAACTAATTCATAAATGAAATGCCGAAAAAGGAAGTCATGCATCAATTATAAACATTGCACTGACAAAGACACCAATTCTTGAATACAACCAATCAAGAGATCATTTGAGGCTTGAGCACTTTACAATATTCTAAGTTTGTAAGAGAATGATAATCCCTTACTTCATGATAAGTACTCGCTAACGCTCGTACTTAATCATGAAGAAAGGGATTATCATTCTCTTACATATACTAATTTCTAAGTTTTATATCTAGATTAATTAGTGAGTTTTATTTCACATTCTAAATGAGCCGTAGGGCGTATTAAAACCTGAACGCATTAGAAAGGAATATCCCACTTTAGTGTGGTCGGTAAAATAGGATGCTAAATTTTGCAAATCTTTATAAAAAACAATATTTTTTGACGGTATATAAGTCAGATAATGCACATTTTAAGGTTTTTCTTGTCGTAGAACACAACTTGGGGTGTGTTCTACGACAAGAAAAACCTTAAAATATGCATTATCTATAGCATATTGTTCCCCATATAAAATTATTAATGTGCTGATTCTAACACAGCTATATTTTGAGGCATTTCGTTGAAATTATTGCCGAACAGAGTATTCATTCTATACATTATATATTGTGTGCAACTTTTCTTGTTCCTCAATATGCTAGAAATCCGTTTACGATGTAAATGTATCACTTTTATGGTTTAGGTTGTTTTAACTATAGATATATTCAAATCTATTTAAAAAAATTTATCTGATTACAATAATGTATGCATGACAAGCACATATATTGTAAAATAAATGCCTCCTCGGCACTGTGTGCTACCTACATACATAATGTTTATCAAATAGAAATTTAGTTTTTATATACATGTACATTTTCTAACAGAAGTTTACAATAAAAATTATTTAAATTTTCAACAGATGGCTGTTTTTATGAGTCCCTCACCGGCTGGAATGAATTTTCATGGAAATCAAATTCAGGATACAAATATCCGGCCATGGATTGATACGACCGGCAAATACAGTACTGCACTCTAGAGCTCAACAGTACAACTTTGTTGTACACATTATAAATGTTTCCTACACTTATCTACCACAATACAAGAAATGACATATATGAACTCAACTTCCCTCCCAATGTATTTGATGCACTTCTTTTTGTATATCCAGGCATATGAAATTTGATCACAAAATTGCATATATTAACTACCATATCATCATCCCAGAAGCTAAATAAAAGTGCAACGTAGAACCCTTCTGTTACACCTACGATTCCTAGTTTTGTATTTAAGAGGTTCGTGTTGCTCTTGCCTTAGTTGTAAGTTTGGTTTTTTTTTTTAGTTTATAGCGGTAGCAATCTTGTTAATCCCTAATTCGTCATGAAAAAATATTTCATTTTCAGGGTTTGAAAATGTTACATGACCAATAGTCTCGAATTTGTTGATGATTTAGGGTTAGAAAAAAAGTCAATTGTTAATGCGCTCTTGCGTGTTGTCTAATCACTTGATATAACTTATTAACTTATTTTATAGGAGTAATACGAGGGGTGTCACATGTGGGGTGGGATCTACTTACCCTTCCGCAGCACCTTGGATTATCCCCCTTTTTTTGTTCAGTCTTTAGTTACGTATACTTTTTCATATTTGTCTTTTGGTCATTTTCTTCTCTTTTTTTTTGCCATGGCGTTGTCAATTTGTTTTTGACTTTGACTTTGAATGTCCCTTTGGTACCTTTCGTCCCTCTTGTAGAAGCTAAACCGTAAAACACGAAACAAGATGAATATAACCATATCTAAGGGCTAAATTAGGTCAATCATCGTCATTTATTATGTAAAAATATGTAAGTAACACAATGTATTTTATTACATTTTTTGACTTGCTGTTAGATAAAGAAAAAAATGTGTTTGGAAGAAACGTTAACAAATTATAATTGTAAATGTATGATGCTTCTTTCGTCGTCATTAGGCATCGTGTAAGCCTTATTATATGGAGTGAGTATAATAGTTCATCAAATAATATCTTTCAGCATCTATCATGGAAAAGACTGGGAATGAAAGTGCTGTTCTTTTGATAAAATTACAGTTTGTTCGCATTTCATGGCATATTTTTATAACAGGCGCATCCTTTTCATATCCTTTCTTTCTTTTTCATGAAAACAAGTATCCCAGATACAGTGAGGCCCGTTTCATACTTGAATGGAAATCCGAAAGAGAGATCTTTAGTTTACGCAAAAGGCACTTTTTCAACCAAAATTGACTTTTATTTTCATTTGAACCTTGCTTAAAATCGACTGGACTACCACTTATAGTGAAAACGCTTAAACAGCTATACTGATGAATTATAATACGGTCATAATATGTATATAATTTGTGGCTTGTTATGCATTATTTAAATTATATTATTTTATGTGTTTCACTAATAAAGTAACTTGAATTATGCAAATAAATGTATTGTTTAATTGAAGATGACTTTAAACACCATTTTGCGTACTTAGTCCACTCTTTGATGCCAATTTCCTCCATCTCCGGTCCAAATATCAAGCATCACTTAATACTTGAAATTGAATAGAAATGTAGAATGTTTGAACCAGAATTATGTACTAATTTAATGGGTGACACTAGTGGAATATGATCTGTTCTGGAGCATCTGATATCACCCTTGTTGTTTGGTTGGTATTGTTGCTCAGTCTGTTGTTTTCTTTGTAGTGTTTTGTAAATTGTTGTTTGTCTACTCGAATTTTTAGTTCCTAATGACGTTGATTCTGGTAAATGGGAATATTATTCATTTGTTCGTTATTTCACCGTTGTTTGTTTTGAATGCCTTTCAATAAGCTGTTGTGTAATTTTCACGTTCGTGTGGTGTATGTTTTAGTGCAAGACACCATGCTTTTCTAAAAATTCAAAAATCCATAAACAATAGTATGCATGGATGTCAAGGGACCAATACAGACCTATTTGAAACTCTCTGTTATTCGTGTCATTTGAACAATATTCAAATATGGTTGTGCAGGTAGTTCCTCAAGCTTTTAGATGGACATTTGTCTTACCAGCATCAGAGTAAATAGTATTTATATTCTAGTAACTAGGCGAATATAAATATAGGGAATGTAACAACATCACTAGCAATTAGCAATAACTATCTTGCATCTTACATTTTGAAGTTTCGTCAAAAGTAAAATAACAAACATAACGAAGTCCATTATCAGATTGCAAAATCAAAAGCTCTAGCACATCATACGAATTGAAAACAACTCATATTCCTGACTTGGTACAGGTATTTCCTTATGTAGAAAATGGTAGATTAAACCTGGTTTTCAAGCTAAACCTCTCTCTGTTTTACAGTCGTATAAAATTCTATTATATATGATACTTTATTTCCTCCAATAGAAGATTGACACAAGACAATATGCATATATTATTTACAACTGAAATGACCATAGAACGATAACACAATTGCGGGATGTATAAGAACCGAGACACGCAAAAAGAATACTACCAAAATTGGACTAAAAAGTAAAGGTTAATAATATACAAAGACAAATAAAAGGACACTATGACACGTAATTAAGATTACAAACAACGTCAGGACCTAAAATCTATACTTCAAGAACATCATGTAATTTTTATGTGAAGTCGATACGGAATATTCATCGACAAGGTCTTGGTATCTTTCGATTAACTTTTTTAGAAAAAGGACTAGGCGTTCTTTGACAACTGAATATTTTTGACAAGAATGAAGGATAAATCATTAATACAACAATAATATTGCTGTTCCATTTTAACCAGCAAGTTTTGTTAAATCGCGTTTCACTTGAATAAATATAAGTGAAATACGCAGGTAAAAGTGCCCAATTATTTACTTTAAAGTTCGGTCAATCAACAAAAAGAACTATACATACACAACTAATAATATATATTATCAACAAACACATTTTTGATTTTCCAATATTAAATATTTGTCATAATGTTATAGATTCAGTATACTTAAAAATCAATAGTTTTTCCAGGAATAATAACAGTATGTTTAAGATCCGTTAAAACGAAATATGTAGATCGTCACAGTTAGTGATATAGACGACTTAATACAGTAAGTATTAAGTGGGATGATTTCAATTGATATTTCATAAAGTGTCTTTCTATGTTGTGATGTTACACTATTGTTTCAGGTTGGGTGAAGGTTTGCGCCTATTAAAACGTTAAAATCCGCTGCATTTGTTTGCACCTGTCCTAAGTCAGGAACCTGATGTTCAGTGGTTGTCGTTTGATGTGGTTAATAAGTGTTTCTCCCTTCTCGTTTTTATATAGAAGAGGGACGAAAGATACCGGAAAGACAGTCAAACTCGTAGATCGAAAACAAATTGACAACGCCATGGCCAAAAAACGAACAAACAGACAAATAATAGTACAGATGACACAACATAGAAAACTAAAGACTAAGCAACACGAACCCCACCAAAAACCGGGGGTGATCTCAGGTGCTCCGGAAGGGTAAGCAGATCCTGCTCCACATGTGGCACCCGTCGTGTTGCTTATGTTATTACAAATCCTGTCAATAGTCTAATTCGGTAAGTCACATTCGTGAAAAGGGAAGGGTATTGTAGTTACGACATAATGAACATATCCGATATCATCTGTGAAACGGTTATTTCATAACGGTCAACCAACTCGTGATGGCGTCCGTAAAATTAACGAAGGGATGATTTCAACTTCACCATTTAAAACTCTTGGTTTAATAGCTTCCTTGTGAGCAGTAATCCTCTATCAAGGAAATCATGATAGGAAACACAAGCCCGGGAATATCGTATCAATTGGGTGATATATACTCCGTATGCAGGCGCTGCTGGAATGTTGCTACATAGAAACGGAAAGGTCACAATTGGGAAGCTGAAATCATCTCTTTTGTCGTAAAGTTTTGTTTTCAACCGACCTTCATTTTCAATTTCTAGATGTAAGTCAAGATATGAGGCAGACTTAACTGTATCTGTAGTATCCATTATCTCTAGTTCGATGGGATAGATTCGTTCAACATAGTCACCAAATGTTGTATTATTTAGTGAGAGAACATCATCTATATAGCGAAACGTAAAGTTGGAGGATATTGCTAACTTCTTATCTTCCTTCCTAAGAAGTTCCTGTATGAAGTCAGCCTCATAATAATAAAGAAACAAGTCGACAAGAAGAGGGGCACAATTGGTTCCCATTGGAATTCCGACAGTCTGTTGTTAAAAAACGTCCTTTCACACGTAACAAATATGTTGTCAATCAAAAAATCAAGCACCTTGATAATGTCAGTTTCAGAGAATGTTTTGTTTGAATCAGAGTGATTCTTTACAAAGTAGGATTTACCCCTCCCCAAGACAAAATACTTGTATCTACGTTCGCCATTCTTTTTAATGAAACACAGTAATACCAACTCTTTAATTTTGTCCTTTAGTTTGGAATGGGGAATACTTGTGTAAAGTGTATAAAAGCCAAATGTGTTAATACTATTGCAAGATGAGAGAGTCTTAGATTGTATGTACTCTAAAAGATCTTTGGAATTTTTTAGTATCCACATCTGATTCACGCCACCTCTAGAATAGGCAATTTCACAATAACTTTGGAGCCCGGCTTTGATTGCTGATAAAATAGATGTTAATAATTTAGAAAGAGGTTTCGTGGAGCACTTGGAAGACCCAGCAATATACCGTTGTTTGTAAGGACACTTATGTAGTTTAGGTATCCAATACAGTGATAGAAGATCCAGTTCTTCATCTTTGATTGAAATTCCAAAGGAACATAGAACAGACCTATGATTATCCAGGATTTCCTCTTTGGTAAGTGTCGTGAGGGTATATGTTGAGTTTCCAAGTGAATTGTCAATACCTAATTCATTTATCAAGCAGTTTATGTAATGATATTTACACACAAAAACGATGTTGTATGGGGCTTTATCTGCGGGGACAACAACATATTTGTCATGGAGGTAGAACAAGTATTTTGCAACATTTGGGTCTTTAAAAATTGACGTAGCGTGGGCCCATTCATTTTCTTAATTCGGATTTGTATCAACGACTTCACAGCATTCTGAAAAAGTATCTACGTCTTCTTTCTCGAGTTTAGCCCATTGCCTGGCATAATCCTCGACTGAATCCATCAGTATTTTGAAGTTGTATTTCCAATTGATGGATTTAGGCTCACGATATGCCGGACCTTTGGATAACAAATTTCGCAGGGAAGTGTTATTGAAAATGTTGAGGTCTCCGGCAATAACGTGGCCAACCGGATTATATATAGATTAGACCGTTGGTTTTCCTGTTTGAAAGATTTTACACTAGTCATTTTGGGGCCTTTTATAGTTTACTGTTCAGTGTGAGCCAAAGCTCCGTGTTCAAGGCCATAATTTTTGGGGCCCTTTATAACTTGCTGTTCGATGTGAGCCAAGGCTTCTTGTTGAAGACCGTACTTTCACCTATAATGATTTACTTTTACAAAGTGTGACTTTGATGGAGAGTTGTCTCATTGGCACTCATACCACATCTTCTTTCATATATAAACAAAGGCATAGGTTACAGCATAAATTTTTTGGGGTTAAAGTTTTACATGAGCAGAAACATACCCCTTGCCTATTAAGACGATACGTTGAAAAGTATACTATTGACGTATGACCGCCACTGTTTTAGAAATCAACAAATAGAGCCATTTGTAAAATGATATGGGGTAAGCAAAACAAGTGCCGAAATTATGAAACATGTTTGTTTACAGGGATGTTCACAAAGACAAAAAAACTTTCGTTCCAGTAAAAAGTTTTATATCTGAACTTGTATGCACAACAATCAATCCCGAGCTTGTCATAAGTTCAGAAGACAGAACTCCAGTACTTACACAATTTATGATTAATAATTCTAATATTGTCACTTATAAATTTATAATTATTAAGAAGTTTAGGGTTCAACTCCAACCAGCAAATTGGTTATCATTTTAGGTCTTTTAGACAGTACTTGCATCTCATATATCCCAGTGAACTTGAAATTAAGGATACTACTGATACACTGCTTCATACCTTGATCTGTTCCTCTATATTGACACAGATGGACGACTTCACACTAAAATCTATGACAAACGGGATGATTTCAACTTCCCAATTATCAATTTCCAATTTCCCAGCAGTAACATACCCTCTGCTCCGTCTTATGGTGTTTACATATCTCAATTGATACGTTATGCTCATGCATGTTTACACTATACTGACCTTATATACAGGAGTGTGCTCCTTACGCAGAAACTGCTCCAACAGTGTTATGAGGAGGAAAAGATTAAAAAAGACACTCTGTTAATTTTATAGACACCATCACGAATTAGTTGATCTATATGATGTGTCTGTGTTTAAACTAACTAATGACATTTTACCATGTTTTAGATTGTGGTTTAACTTCTATGTCTTCTGTCTGCTAAGTACCGAATGTGACCTATTCCCGAGAATGA